GCTTATTTACAAAAATTCGACTGATCCGCTATTGAGTCGTTAATCATCATTCAGGGTAAAAACTTACAATTAGGTGCAATACATCAGTGCAAATGAGCGTTTCCTTTCCTTAATTGCACTGACGTATTGCAAATACTGATTACTGACGTTTGTAAGCTAAAAGAGGCTCACGCATACAAACAGACAACTCATATGACTGCATTGCCCCAACCATTCAGTTTCGTTATGGCCAAGGAATCGCATCAAAATATCATACCAAAATAGGGAAGAAACGGAATGAAATCATTGCCATCAACTGAATCACCTTCTGATCAAGTTTCGGCTCTGATCGAGCCAAATGTGCGTCTGAATGTTGCAGAGGTGGTGAACACGTTGAGAGGATATCATTACTGATCGAGCCGTCGTTTGCGCATCTCGACGTGATGCAATCTGCTGCACACGCAATTCCGGTACCAGTTACAGTTGTCCATCGTGGTTTTTGATTCGGATTCACATTCGGTCGATGCTGCGCTGAATGGTATTCATCGTTGATGGTGGCCGTGCTCGTTCGTTTCGACGTGATCGATATCGCTTCGTTGTAGTGTGGTGGTTGACGGATTCCCAGCCTATTGTTCGCCAGTAGTAAATTCGACAACGCAACATCGGATGTATCTCGACTATTCGATCTCGTCTTTGAACATCCAACACTTTGAGCATTCGCTACGGGTGCGTCCGTTTCGGACGTTCCGACTGGCTGCAATCGCTACAAAACTCACACATAACTAACTGACCGCTTGTGAATAATAATGACCGATAGAGTGAATGTGTTAGATGGAATCACTTGGTTGTAATTCTTATAGCTAATGATGGATAAGGAATTGATACGACTGTAATCATTGAACAAGAACTGGAAAGTAGCTAGCAATTTTCCACGGTCGATTAGTTGGAAGTTTGAGCACTGAATGAAATCATTTGAAAAAATCTTATTTCGAGTAATTTCTTGCCATGTCGAAAATTACATACCGGCGCACTGTACTGTAGAGTAGTGGCAGATG